TTAAAATAAGAGAAAAAATATATTAATAAGCTCCATCGTTTATCCATTAAGACATTTTGATTTGAATAATGAAGTACCTAAAACACAATCATATCCTAGAGTAACATGTTACATATAAGTTAATGGTTAAGAAGAAAATCAGGAAATACACAATATTTGTTACTGCAAGCCATTTTAATACAAAAATGACGTTTTTCAACAGTTCATTGGTAGAGCTTCAGTTTCTGCTTCAATTTTTTGCGCCCCCTCAAAAAGGGGCCTCCCTAGCCTTGCCTGGAGATGGTAGAGGGGAGCAGGGCCAATATCTGAGATGCAGAAAAACCTGCGGGCAACTGCCCCCGGAGCCTCAGTTTCCAAATTTGTAAACAACTCAGGGTTGTCAGGGCGGCCTGAAGTGGTTTGTGTAACTAGCAGCCAGGGGTAGGAGTCAAGGGCAGCGATCTCCAGGGCCTCTCAGGAGGAGCGTGGGAGGCTCACACCCGCCCCCCTCACCTCACCCCACCCCCCTCACCCCCCTCTCCAGACCTGTTTTCTGAGGTGAGAAGTGGGAGGAGAGGCAGGTGCGGTGCCAAACCGAGGGAGGCTTGGGCGTCCTGTGACGTTCTAGAGTGTCAAGGTGGGCTTCTGCGGCGGGCTCAGGACCCACACTGGGCTTCCTGTCCCAGCCCGCCTCTCCTTCCAGCCCTGGCTCTGCTGATGCACCATGACCCCTTTTTCCCTTAGTAGAGAAAATGAAGGAGTAGGGTCTGAGGTCATCCCAGTCATCCCCCTGCCTCTAGTCAGGACAGCCCCTTGCACAGCCCTGGTTCTTCTGGGTTCTTCTGAGGATGAAATCCTTTCCAGTGTCTAACTTCAGTCCCTTGAGCCAGGGACTAGATGAGGCTGCTTAATGAGGGTGCTCTTCCCTCTGGTCCGACAGAGACCCAAAGGGAGAGGGCCTGCTGCGGGGGGCGGGATGGCGAGATGCTGTGTGCCCCGGAGCCCACAGAGCTGGGGTGGCCCGTGAAGGTTCTCAGCTGCAGGCAGTTCTGGCTTTTTGGCTTCTTTCTGGGGCCACAAGTCTCTTTCTCCCCAGAAAGAGAAACTGAGGCCCAGCTAAGGGATGTGTGTTGAAGCGGGTAGAGGAGTTAGGCAGGAAAGCTCTTAGTTACTGGACTCTGAAAATAGCAAATCAGAAATGGGTGTGGTGCTGGGGGAAAGCGAGCGTGGTTTTGGGAGGCTGGAGCCAGGACTTCTGTCTTCAGTGCTGTATCCTCAAGGCCCTAGCTCTTCACTTCCAAAGCTATTACGCATGCAGAGGTGTGGGCACCAGCGAGCTGGAACAAGGGTAGTGGGGGCAGTAGGGCTGCCAGCCTTGTGGGCCATGTCCACCTCCCTGGGTGCCACCTCCATTATGCATGGTCACACTTGGCCCTCCCCCGCTTCCCCCTCTCAAATTGCCTGAAGCGGTTTCCCATCGCTGAGGGGGAGGCTGTAGGAGGCGCAGCTGGGCGCATGGCCTGCCTCTCCCCATTTTGGTGACCTTGGCCATCTTCCTACTTCTCTACACCTTGGTGTCCCTCAGGGAGAATGCCTTGTCTCCCCAGATTTGGAGCTTGCGTGGTGTGGGGGTGGTGCGCCTGACCGGTCCTTGGCACTGCCTCCTCCAGGGCTAGTCTGGGCTCTGTAATTCCTGCCTTTTTAGGGCTGGAAGCCTGTAGCTCAGGCCGTGTGTTGCAGGAGGCAGGAGGGACTGGCTCAGAAGGGTGGGGTCCTGGGGAGCTGATGGGGAGTGAGGGGTTCTAGTAGTGCTTGGGTGGGATCCTATCCTTTCTCCACTATGGAGGTCCCAATCTTACATCTAGGCCCCCAGAAACTTTCCTAGACCCTCTGCAGCAGAGAATATGGGACCTCTCGATTTTCTTGGTCCTTGCAAGCTTCTTGCGTTTAGCTGGATTACAATCTCCTTGAGGGCAGGCCTGTGCCTTTTGCCTCCCCGGCGATTCTTGCTGTGCCTGGCAGAGTGCTGCTCAGTAAGAACTGACTGATTAAGGATTAGAGGCAGAGGGTTGAAGATTTTAGACAGGACCTGGGTAAGATTGGCTAGAACTGGAAACAGGGCTGTGTTTAATGAGAGATCTAGAAGCAGAACATGTGACTCTGGAGCCAGACTGCTGTGGCTCAACTCAGGATGACCCTGTTGACTAGCTGTGTGGCCTTAGCAAGTGATCGAACCTCTCTTAGCCTCTGTTTCCTGAGCTGTAAAGTGGGACAATAATGGGACCTGCTTCATGGTGTGGTTGCGAAGCTCATTGAGTTAGTTTATTTAAAATACTTTAAACAGTGCCTGGCACATAATAAGTGCTCGAAAAATGTTAATGATTGTTGTTACGGGTGGTGATGGTGGCGATGGTGTTCTTCCAGGAGCCCAACGCTGGGCTGACCCTCTTCTCTCTTATCACAGTTATTCCATCTCTTAGACGGGAGACTCATGGGACCAGAGAGTGGAGGACATGGTGGCATCATGTTCCCTCAAGGGGTCCTAGCATCAGAGCCCAGAGAAGAGACTTTCCTCCCTGTCTCCCCCACCCTCTCTCTGTGAGGGAAGGCAGGGAGCTAAGGGGACCTCCAGAGGCCTTGTCTGCCCAGGGAGCCAATGCAAATCTGTGTTTATGGAGGACTCTGAGAAAGTTGCCATCACTGTAAACAAGATGCATTATTATAAACCAGACCAAGCTCTCCTGCTTGGATTCCATCCCATCCTTTGATGAGAGTCACTGGATTCGAGATTCCCAGACCTGGCAAGGACCTAGCCTGGCCTCTGGGCAGGCTGCTCTTGACCATAGGCTACATTAATAGGGGTGACATCTATATTTAAGGTGGGATCCCCAAATAACTGCAGCAAGTACCCTCTAGGTGTCTCTGAAGTCTAATCTGCATCTTCTTGTTGCAAATTTAGTTCCATCTCTTGTTGGCAGGAAGTGGGGGAGAACCGTGCCCAGCCCTTCCTGCATGCCTTAGAGCTGGGAGCTTTGAACCCATGGTAGGGGTGGGCTCCTGGCCATACTCCCTCTCCATCCCCAAGCCTCTGCTTTCTTTGAGGTCCTCGGCTTCCAGTGCCCTTGGCAGTTCCTCGTTAGTGAGGGTCAGCCTTCAAGGCCTGCTAAGCTGTACTCTTCACCTAGTCCAGGTTCCCACCCAGGGAAGCTGGGCTTGCTCTGGCTTGGGGCGAGCTCTACTTCCGGACCCCTGGCCCTCCCAATTGCAGCTGCAAAAGGCATTAAGCTTTTTTCTTGGAGAAAGAATGGGCTTGGGTTGATGATGATGGCAGCTGGGGAGGGTTCCTGAGCTCAGCCCAACCCTATGTCGCTTTCCCTCCTCAGCCCCTGCTCACCTCTGCCCTATTTCTAGGTCATTGCTCATCTAGAAGAAGGGGGCTCACCTTTGATTCTTGACCTTGATCAGACCTGAGCAATCCACTGATTTTCAACAACCCTTTGTGGGGAAGAGTCAGTCTGTGGCTTCAGCACTGGGCTTGGTACTGGGGTGGGGCAGAGAGCTTTGAGGAATGTATAAGAGAGGGTGTCCGCCTTGGGGTCCCTGTGGCCCAGAGCTGAGGAGAGCAGTGCTTCTGCTGTGTCCCCAGACTCTGGATGAGTCCCTTTTTTCCCTGGGCCTCAGTGTCCTTACCTGTAAGACAAAGGCCTGGAGAGGCTCTGGGCTGGAAGAGTCTGTGAGTCCATCTCCCTGCAGGAGCCTTTCCTGATCCCCCCAGGCTTTGAACTTCACCTTGGATTGACCTTGCTTCCCTCCCCGCCCTGCCCCCACCTCTGGCAGTGGCTGGCAGGAAGTCCTGCTGATTAGGGCCCTAATCACCGGCTGAGACTCCCAGAAACAGCCAGAGCTGGTTGAGCTGTGAGGGGGCCATGGGGCCAGGAAGGGGGATGGGCATAGGGAGAAGCCCCAACCCAGGAGCTGGGGGGCTGGGCTGTGATCGAAGGTTGGCTTCTTGGGCCAGGGGCAGTACCTGTGTGTACACACTGTGTAGGCCGGGTGGCAGTGGCTGAGTCTGACTGGGCACATGGGGCCCCTGATTGTTCACTTAAAAGCCTTTTTGGGCATTGACACTGTGCCAGGCAAGGTACCAGAAGTATGGGGCTGAGCAGGCCAGGGAGACAGTCCAGTGGGAGAGAAAAGGGCAGCAGAAGGTTTCCGTAACATGCAGAGGGGGTGTCAAGCAGGAGCAGGGCCCACAAACCGGTGGAGTGGAGAAAGCCTCGGAGAAGAGGTTCCATTTGAGCTGAGAGGTTGAGAAGAAGTTCTGCTGGAGGGAAAAGGGATAAAGACCTCTTCAGGCATAGGGGAGGACATGTGCAAAGGCACAGTGGCACACATGTAAGGACGGATAAAATAATGGCACCGGCCCTGTCTTGCAGTCAGATAGGCTTGGGTTTGCCTCCCAAACTTGCTAGCTGTGTGACCTTGGACAGGACCTCAGTTTCTGCATCTGTAAAATGGGATTAATATTCCACCTCATATACTGATGATGGGGATGAAACGAGACCTTATTTGTGAAGTGCTCAGCTCAGTGCCTGGCACAGGGCAAGCCCCCGGGAAGTGGTATGTGTGCAGAAAGGGTGGCTTTGGAGAGAGCCTGGAGGGTGTAGCTTGGGGTCTGGCTGTGGGGAATTTTCTGGGCTAGGTTAAAGAGGGGAGCATCAGAGAGCTTTAACACAGGAGAAACTTGACAAGCTTCTTACTTACTGCCCCAAGGACACTTGGAGACAGGCCATAAGCCAAGTCCCCTGGAGTCCCATGTTCGAATTCCTAAGCCCCTGGGGATGGGAAATCCTCTCCTGAGTCATTTCATTTTTCTTTCCCATGCGCTATCCTCCCCTCCTGCACGAGGAGGCTGAAGAAGCACTGAAATCTCCTTCCTGGGAGATCTTTCAGGCCAGAAGAGAGCCCTCCTTGGCAAGGCTTCCCACGAGACTGGAATGGATGGACTGCAGCAGGTGGGAGTGAGGGTAGACCGCAGGCAGCTCATATTTCTAAGGAGCCAAAAGGCTCCTTTTGGGGGCATCTTTCAACATCTGCCTGACATACAGTAAATCCTCACCATTCATTAAGTGAATGCGTGAACATGAGTGTCCCCTAGCCAGGGTGGTGGAGCCTGCCTATTCAGAGGCAGTGGGTGCCTGGCCTGACTATAAATGGTCCGGTGAGTGTCTGCACGGAGCTGCCCGTCCAGAGGCAAGAGGAATGTTAAATGTCACAATAGCCAGGGGCCTGACCTGTTGCAGGTGCTCAGTGACTGTAGATGAGGAAACAGGGGTTTCAGGAGCTTTGACTTCCTGAAGCCAGGTCCCATCGTGAGGCAGCGTGGCATGGGGATCGAGATCCCAGACTGCAGCCACACTGTCTGGGTTTGAACTCGGATCTCACCTCTCGCAGGCTGTGTGACTGTGGACCACATACCTAACTTGCCTGTGCTTTGGTTTACTCATTGGTAAAATGGGTAAAATGCGGGAAACCAACCGAACTGAGTCTCGCGTGCAGGGCATGCTGCGTGACCTTTGGTTATTACCACTGTTATTCTTGCTAATGTTGGCGTGGAGGGAGAGAGTGGGGCAGGGTCTCCGTGGCAGGGATGAATGCAGCTGACAGAGGAGGATGGGAGAGCGCAAGAGATAGACAAGGCTCCTCTGGAGGTGCCTTCTGAGCAGCCTCTGACAGCACACGTGGGGCTGCCTCTGCTGTGGCCAGCTGAGCTGAGCTGAGCTGAGCTGAGCTGAGCTGAGCTGAGCCGAGCCGAGCCGACCGTGGGAGCGGAGGCAGCGGCCAGGCCTGGATTCCAGGCTGGAGCCCTAGGAGAGCAGGGGCCAGCTCGGGGGTGGGGGAGGAGAGGTGAGCAGAGAGGAGGCCAGGACTCTCCCAAGTCCCCAGCTGGGACCCCAAGAATTCCTCACATCTTCTCTTGCCAGAGGGCCTGGCCTTTTAGTTCCAGGGCCTCCAGAAGGCCTGTGGTTCATCTCCCCACCTCCTTGTGTTCTGCTCCTAAAGCCCCTTCACTGTTAGGAAGTGATCGCTCTGCAGTAACCACTGTATGGTTGCACATCCTTCCCTCCCTCTCTGTACTGCCTTCCCATCTCCCATCTCCAGTGCCGTGGGATTAGCAGATGTTTTGCAACAGGAGGGTGTGAGGGTACACTTCAGGGGCCTGCCCTGACTCAGGGCCGGGGCAAGGGGCTCGCAGTGCAGTGGAGAGATTGGCGGCAAGGGGTCAAGTGGTCTGTTTTAAGTGCCCCTTTGGCACTGTGTGCCCTTCGGCAAATCACTTCCCCTCTCTGGGCTTCAGTTTCCTCATTGGCGAGATGAGTTAGGAGAGTCCTCTCTTTCTGTGCTGAATTTCTAAAAGTCCATGGATCTTCCTGAACAGAAGCTTCTGTTTTGGGGGCCTTTGGAGGAGCCATCCAGCCTGAAGTGGGGGCCCTGGAAGGCCTTTTGGCACCTTCTGGGAAGCCAGCTAAAATGCTGGGAGGTCCCTTCTAGCCCTGGGACTGGAAGGTTCTTTGCCCAGTGACCACTCTCCTCCAGGTGGCTCCGTTTCTTGGAACAGAGTTTAGGGTAACAGCTGTCAGGGTTGAGCTGGCCAGAGTCTCTGGGTCTCAGTGACTCAGGTGGGGGTGCGCTGGCAGGATGGGAGCTGGCGAAGCCAGGGAGGGAGCTGGACAGATCTTCTGGCTCCCCCTTGGCTACTCTCAGGGAACAGAGTGGGAGTAAGTAATGTGCTGCGGGACGGGGAACAGAGAAGAGTGAGTAATGGCTGTGAGTAATGCCTCAGTGTCTCTGCTGGGCAGGTGGCTCCTAGACTGTGCAGAGCTGTCTGAGGCTCCGGAAATTTTCCCGAGTCCTAGCCACTGAATCATGGCAGCCTGAGCACCGCCGTCCCTGCCCTCCTTAAGAGCTGGGGGTCCAGGCCCCACGCCCTCTCTGCCTCTCTGTGCCTCTCCGAGTGAGCCCCTCCTGCCATCTATACCTCCACCCCCACTGGGTCCCGTAGCTGCTATATCTTGTCTTCTAAGCACCTGGAGGACTTGGCTTGCCTGAAGGAGTATAGATTTTGCAGTCTGGCTGTCCTGGATTTGAGTCCCAGACCAGCCGCTGCAGCTGTGTGACCTGGGACGACTTCCTTTCGTTTGCTGAGTTTCTGTGGCCTTGTATGAAAGGGTTACATGTGATACTGTGTCTGAAGTACATAGTACATAGTAGGTATTCAAAAAATATGGTCCTCTCACGAGTCCTAAATGCTGTTTTGACTTTCCTCACTACCTTCACCCCTAAAATTCCTGCTCCAAGTCTGCATCCCATAATTTTCAGGAGGCTTATCCACTATCAGATCCACCCCATGGTTTGTACACTTGCCCTCCGGTGTCTGACACCTGCTACCCAGCTTCCATTATTGTGCCCTAGTCCTCACCTGCTCTTCCAGAAGGATGGGCAGGGCTCAGGTGGGGAATTTGTCACTTGCCCAGTCCAAGGGGAATTTGTCGCTTGCCCAGCCATAGTTGGTGGGCAGGCTCCTGTGGGTGCTATGAAAGAGCTCCCTCAGACATCTGGAAAAGCTTCCAGACTTGTATCCCCAAGTTCTACTGGTTCATGCTGTCCCTTCCTCCACTCTGCCCATGTGGGTTGCTTCTCCCTTGGGAGCGTCCTGAAAATCCGCTGTGCTCAGGGCCACACAGACTGCCCCTGCCAGTGGGTGTGTTGGTGGTGCTGCTGCTGTGTTCCTGTCTGTGTAGCTCTGCTTGGGGTGGGGCCGGGAGCACCAGGCAGTGACTTTGCATCTGGACCTGGCAGTGGTCCTGCTGTTTTGCACTCTGTGTGTGCCTTGGGGCGTCTGAGCTGTGCTTATGCACCTTGGCAGTATCTCTGGGTCACTGTGTCTCTATCTGGTGTGAGCTCTCTCTCCTGTCCATTTAAAATCTGCCTGCGTTTTCAGAGCCAGATAGAGCCAGGTCTTCCGCTGCCCCTCCCTCTACCCCCCTTCCCTCCAGACCTGGTTTCAGTTGCATGCATCTTGGAGGTCCTCCCGGGGAACAAGGAAACATTGCAGGGGGCTGGATATGCGTCAGATGGAGCTGAACAATGCCGGTGACAGCCAGGCCTCTGCTAGCCCTCATTGCTGGCTTCCCTTCCAGTCTCTGCTGCTGGCTAATTGGGAGTAAGAGAGGGCTTCCTGTGACTGGGCCACAGATGGATTTAAAGGAGCAACAAGGAGCTGGACGGCTCTGCCCTGGGGACCTCCGGCTTCCGGGGCTCCTGGTGCAGTCCATCAGAGCAGATGGGGTTCCAGAACACCAGCCCTTGACTTGTGCTAATTGTGCGGAAAGATCACACTCACTCCTCCTGTCGCTGCCATCTGGGGCCCAGGAGTTGTCCACATAAGTGAATTTTCAGATAAACGAAGCTTAGGCCATGTAAGAAGCTCAGAAAAATAAAAGGTGGATTTTTTATTTCCTCGATGGAAATCTGTTTTGTTTTATGCTGTCCTAAGCTCTGATGTAACGGTAGATGGGAACTTAGAAATCAACTACCTCCTCGTTTTGTTTTGTATTATGCTGTCCTAAGCTCTGACGTAACGGTAGATAGGTAGATGGGAACTTAGAAATCAACTACCTCCTCGTCTTCTATTATCGTTCCTCAGTTCCTTCTCCTGTAAAGTGAGTGTAAGAGAAGAACCTACCTCACAGGGTTGAAGTGAGAATCAGACAAATAGAGACGTGTGAAATGCTCAGAACAGAGCCTGGCACTTAGTACCCACCGTGCGATTCGCTGCTCTGTAAATGAGGACGCTGAGGCACAGAGAAGGGTAAGGCGAGCAGCCGGCTCAGGGAGAAGGGAGCTAGCATTTCCTAAGCATGTGCTGTGTTCCAGGGGTTTTGACTTGTGTCATTTCAGCCAACTTTATTTAGTTCTCCGACCACTCTTCAAAGGTGGTCTTTTTACCTCCATTTTACAGATGAAGAAACTGAGACTGGGGAAGGTTCAGTGGGGTCTCAACAGCCGGTCTGTGGCCAAGCGCTATTTGAGCCCCTGCCTGACCACCAGTCTAGGGCTTTGTCCATCCCGCCTCTCGCCCTTTGGTTGGAAACTCATGGCCTCTCAGTGAGTTCGGGAATTTGGAAATGAGGATCCATAAACGAAAGGTGTTAGGATTTGTCAGAACGGAACTTGCTCCCAGCTTCTGGGTTCTGATTAGATCCAGAGAGGTATGGAGTCGGGTGATGAGGCAAAATGACCTTCAGGAGTCCAGGGAACATAAACGCCACAGATGGGTGTCAAGGATGTAGAATTCTCTCCTGGGTAAAATGAGGTTGAGTTAGATTTTCATCCTATTCTTTCTTTTGACCAGCCTTAAATCTTTGAAAAAAGGAGGTAGGTAGACATTGGGAAGGGCTTCTGATGGTCAGCAGCATTGGGCAGCGATGTGCGCATCTTAGAGAGCTTGGAGAACCAACAAAAATTCAAGGTGTCCCCTGAAATGTGAGCTGACTTTTTTTTTTTTTTTTACATTTTAATGTTTCTGAAATTGAAATGCATCTTAAAATTGAAGTGTACATTTCGGGTAGCATTTCCCCACCTCGAAAGCTTTTAGCCAATCTGTGGTGCCTCAGACAAGCAATGGTGTCTTTGAGATCCAGAAACAGGGCAGTGAACACCAGCAGTTTGCAAAGCACCGACATGTATGAAAGGGAGAGTCCCGTAGCCCATTGTCACATCCGGCAAGCAGACTCTTTAAGAAGGCAAGGGAACTCTCCGAGATCCATGTGGCCCCCAGACCAGGAGCTCTCCATCCGGGGGCCAGGCTCAGCACCTCCTCTCTCCCCCCACCTCCTCTCATGCCTCCTCAGCAGCTCCCGAGCCCTTTGCCTTCTTGGGTTTCCCCTTGTGCTTAGATTTTTTTTCCCAGGCATCCTTCCTGCCCTACTGTTATAGCAAAGCTTAGGGTCAAAGACTTTTGTCCCTTAAGGTTCTTATCTAGGGACAGAGCCCTCAGTGGGGAGTGGAGGGGGTGGGATGGGCATTCTCCCACTGGGTATAATTTCTGGAAAAACAGATGGACTTGAATCTCAGAGAAATAATAGCCCTCTTCATACCTCCATTACAGCAGTTACTGGGCTCTTTTATAATCCTCTGTCGACATGCCTGCCTCCTCCACTGGGCCACAAGTGCCCCTCCTGAGCTGGGCCATACTTATCTGCCTCTGTCTCCCTAGCTGGGAACCTGGCATCAAGGGCCCCTCACTTGGTGTTGCTAAATAAATGCATGGCCTTTTTCCGCATGACTGTCACCTCCCCCTGTCCCCTGTTCCGCTAGAACCATGACCACAGACCACAGCCCTTTCTTTGACCAGATCCTTTTAGGAACTTCCTAGAAGCTTTGTCGCCTGTGCTGGAGGCCATGTCACCCAACCCTCTGCTTCAGAGCCAATGGCCCTTCTCCAGGCAGGAAGAAGAGCTGGGATTTCCCCTGCTCTTCGGATCTCAGGAGAAGGCAGCTCTGAGATCTACATGTCAAACTGCCTGTCTACTTATGTAATAGAGGCCCTGCTTCCTCTGAGTCCTCCAGGCTGGGCCCCTCAGTGATGTGCAGCTTCTTCTCCATCTTACATCCCCTAAAGCTCTCTTGGTAAACTCTTGCCTCTGCTTCCAGCCCCAGCCCAGATCCTTTTCACGTATCGCTTAGATGGCAGCTGCCTATTCCAGGCTGGCCTCCCGGCTTCCAGCCCTGCTTCTCGCCCAGGCCCTCTCTCATTGGCTCTGGTGACATCGGGCCCTGGACATTTGCCTCAGCCTGGTCCTCTAGGCCGTGCACAGTGCGGCCATGAATTACCGTTCGGATCCACGTTCTTCATTTTGTTGTGTGCGCCCTGGGCTCAGCTGACTGGTCTCGTCTCTGTTTTCCCACCCCGATATCTCTCCAGTCCACCCACCTCAGCGGCCATGCCCGCGTTCTTCATTTTGTTGTGTGTGCCCTGGGCTCAGCTGACTGGTCTCCTCTCTGTTCTCCCACCCCTGTTATCTCTCCAGTCCACCCACCTCAGCGGCCATGCCCTCCATGGAATTCTTCCTGTGGCCCCCAACTGGACAAGCTGATGTGGCTGAGGGTGCCACCAGAGTGGAACTCTGTTCCATTGCTTACTGATTGTGTGACCTTGAGCTAAAATAGGCCGAGAGTCCCTACCTCAGCTCAGCGTACAATATGGAACGAAAGCGAACTTGACAGTGGTTTTCTCTGGCTGGAGCAAGGCTTTGAGGCAGAGGGGTGAGCAATGGGCCTGCAAGGAGGGCCACAGCTGTGTCCCTCAGGGCCATGAGGACCATATTAGGGCATATGGACTTTATCCTTGTGGAGCTGGAAGACATGGAAGGACTTTAGGCAGACGAGTGACATGACTGAGTGTGCGTTTTAGAAATAGTTCCCTGGCTGCCGAGTGCAGACTAGATTAGAGGGGGCAGGACCGAGGGTGAGGATGCACGTGTGAGGGGGCTGTTGCAATAGTCTCGATGATTCAGGGGACTGGGTGTTGGGGTGGCTGAGAGAGATATTTGGGCTGAAGAATTGTCCAGGTTTGGTGGTGGGGGGAGGAGGAGTCAAGGTGGACACTCTGGTTTCTGGCTTAACAACCGTGGGTGGCTCGAGCTGGGGAAGTGGGGCGGTTGTCAGTGGCTGAGCCGAGACACCCAGGAAGAGGCAGAGTAGGGGCAGGGCCGTGACTCCAGGACGTGGACCAGTGTCGAGCCCTGGGCTCAGCCGTGCCTTCTTGCCCCTGCTGGTGCTTCCCTGTGGCCCCATGAGCCCTAACCCTGTCTCATGGCTATTGCCAGACCCCTCTTGGACCCCTGGCTTTCTCTCTCGTGCTCCCAGGGCCTGGCACACAGTAGGCACTCGGCACAGGTTTGCTGAACTCCTGCTCTCTGATTGCCCTGCTCACTAGCATTCCACCATGAGAAATCTGGCCCAGCGTGCAGCCTCAGCCCTCCTGGAGCCACCGCCTCCGGGTGTGGGTGAGTGTGGCCTCTGTGCTGGGCCCTGGAGGTCTCAGCTTGGGTTCGAGGGGAGGCAAACCTTCAGAGGTGTTCTAGGCCTCTAGCGTGGGCCGGTCTGGGTGCTGTCTTATGCCATCTGCTAGAAGGCTCTGAAGGGGACCGTCTTCTGTGGGTGGGGCCCACTGGTCCCAAAGCCTGCTCTGCTAGGCCCACTCCACCTGCTCGGCTGTTGCCAGGACCTTCCAGCTGAAGGTGGCTGTGAAACGCCACATTCCTCCCGGCTCAAGAAGGGTGAGCACACCCAGCTCTCCCCTTGTGTAGGGTTAGACTCTGTGGCTGGTCAGGGCTGTTGCGAGCAGTTGTGGCCAGAGGCCATAGGTGTTTGTTTGCCTGCAGAGAGAGTTCCTGTCTGGAGAGCCTCGCGCTGAGTGCGTTGCAGCACCCAGGGGCTGGCAGTGGGCTGGGGCAGCCAGTGAGTGGGGCCCGAGAGGAGGGTACTCAGACAAGAGAGAGGACTGGGGAGAAAAGGGGCTGCTGGAGCTTGGGGAGTCCAGGAGGCGCGTGGCCCTGGAGGATTTCGGGGAGGTGGTGGGGCCGGGGCCCTGGCTGCAGTGCCCAGGTTGGCCGTCTCTGACTCCTCTGTGTCTTATTTGCCCCTGGTTCTGAGTTGGAGCCTGTGCTGAGTTTGGGAAAAGGGCTGAGCCCCTCCCTGTCCCCAGCTGGCCCCCTGGCTCTGGAGGGGACTCTGGGCTTGGACATGCCTCCCCTCACCCCCAGCTCAGGGTGTCCCTGAGAACAGGTCCCTTCTTGCCTCCAGGAACTTGATGCACTTCCTTTCCTGACCCTGAACAGAACTCTATATAAGGGAAGGAAACAGCCAAGCAGGCCAAGAGCAAGCTCTGGTGAGGACAAGCGGCCGGCGGGGAGGGCGCAGGCCCGGGGAGGAAATGGAGACAGGATAGTGGCCACCTCCTCCCCAGGACCCCCTGCCCAGGGCCTGACACTCAGCCTGGGAGGCTGTCGTCTTCAAGTCAGGCTGGGGCTCTGCCCCTTGGGCCCCTAGCCTTGTCTTTGCTCCTGTCACCTCCCCATGGCTGATGGTACTTTGTAGCTACCTGTAGCGCCTGGTAGCTACCCTTAGGACCTGAAGGGTATACACCACCCACCTGGCTTCCCAGCCAACCCCTGGTCCCCTTGGCTGAGCCTCCCACCTTGCCCTGCCTAGCTCACAGGGGCCACTGGGGTCCTCTTCACGGAGCCCAGTAGACATGCAATGTGAACTCTGAGGTGCTGGACTGGCCACAGGTGAAGGGTGGCTCTTTCCTCAGTCACAGGGCAGTGCAGGCTGGATCCTCCTGGACCATTGTCTGCATTATTCTTGATACCGCTGGTGTCACCTCAGTGACCAGGGCTCAGAAGATGGCTGTGTCCCCGTCATAGGTTTTCTGAGTGTGGCCCCAAACGTGAGCAGGCAGAGCTATGGGCAGGATTGACCACTCTGTGAAGGGCAGGAAGCGAAGTCTGGGACCACCCACTCCCGGCAGTTGGGGGATGGTACCCTCCTGTGCTCTGGGTCGGGGAAGAAAAGTAGACGCTGGAGGTGGGGTCTGCCCACAAGTGTGTTTTGTTGGGGTGGGGATGAAGGCTCTAGGTTTTAGGGTGCCAAATGGCCCCTCGTCTCTGGGCTTCGGGGCTCCTCCTCCCTGCTCTGTGCTCCCCCTCGTGCTTACTGGCATTGCTAGTGTCGCTGTGTGTCTCCTTGCTTTAAGCTCTCTCCCTTCACCTTTCCCCGCTCGCTCTCCTACTCAGGCATCTTCGGTGGATCCCCAGTGCTAGCAGTACGAGTCTTAACTCCTTTGCTGGGCGTTCTCAGTTGTCCATGGTCCAGCCTGGAAAGGGAGTTTGCGGCCAGTCTTCTTCCTTCATCTCCTTCAGTGAGCCCTTTGGCGCCTTGACTTCCTTCCCTGCCCTCACTCTGTGTCCCACCTCCATGCCTTGTTCATGTGGTTATTTTCACTTGAAAAGCCCTTACTCCATCTCCAACTTTCAAAACCTTATCCACATACCTAGGGAGCACCAGGTTTTGAGCAAGGCACCAGGACTTGTCGATGAAAATGATGGATGAGTTTCCTTCCCTCGTGGGGCTTACAAGGGGAGCAGATGAGACATACAGGAGACAAACGAAAGCCATGTGTCCTGGAGGCCTGGCTCAGGTGCCCCCTCCTCCACGTGTCCTGCCCGAGAACCTCGAGCACCCTCTGTGCTCTCACAGCCCCTGGCTCCTCTGCCACGACATGTGCCTTATCCAGCCATGGAGGCAGCGACATGCTGAGAAGAGTGGGTATTGCAGTCAGGCAGGCTCGGGGGGCAGTCCTGGCACTGTAACTTGTTAGCTGTGCCATCTCAGATCTCAGAGAATGATCCTGGGCTCCTGGGCTTGGCGTTGACTTACTCAGACATCCTGGAGATCTGGTAGGCAGTCTCAATGGTACCTTTGCCCAAGCTCCTGTAAAGTGAGGAGGTGAATAACCTACCTCAGGGGGGTCATGAAGTATGAAGGGATAATATATACAGTGCTGGCACACAGTGAGCATGCAAAAATTTTAGCAACTACCACTTCTACTTCAGCCACTACTGCTACTTATAGCTGTTTGACTTGGGACAAATTGCTTAGCTTCTCTGAGCCTATTTACCTCAAACACTTGTCAAAAATATTAAATAAAATGATATAGATAAAGCACCCAGCTCAGTGATATACAGTAGGTGCTCTGCAAATGCCAATTTCCTTCCCTTCTATGTACCTTTCGGTGTCATTGGAGGTGAGTGCCTAGAGTTGTTGGGGGAAGGGTTGTGAAGCAGGTGTTAGCACTGGAAGCAACCCAGGTGTCCACAGATGGATGGACAGAGAAACACAACGTGATATGTTCATATGATGGAGTAGTATTCAGTTTTAAAAAGCAAGGCAACTCTGATACATGCGACAACATCAATGAATCTTGAAAACATTATGCTAAGTGTATTAGTTTATTAGGGCAGCCTTAACAAAAGACTGGGTGGCTTAAACAAGAGGAATTTATTTTCTCACAGTTCTGAAGGCTGGAGGTCTAAAATGAAGGCCCTGGCAGGGTTGGTTTCCTTGGAGGCCTCTCTCCTCGGCTTGTGGACGGCTGCCTTCTGCTATGTCCTCACGTGGTCCTCCTAGATTAGGGCCCACATTAATGGCCTTATTTTAACTTAATCACCCCTTTAAAGGCCCTATCTCTTAAGTACAGCCACATTCTGAGACATTGGGGGGTTAGGACTTCAACATCTGAATTTTGGGAAATACAATTCAGCCCATAACAGTAAGTGAAATAAGCCAGGCACAAAAAGGCAAATATTGTATGATTCCTCTTATATAAGGTCCCTAGAATAAGCAAATTCATAGAGACAAAAAGTGGATTAGAGGTTACCAGGGGCTTGGGGAAGAGAGGAACGGGGAGTTATTGTTTAATGGATGTGGGGTTTCTATGTGGGATGTTGAAAAGGTTCTGGAAATGGATAATGGTGCTGATTGTAGAGCATCGTGAATGTCCTTGATGCCACTGAATTGTATACTCAGAAATGGTTTAAATGGTAAGTTCTATGTCATGCACATTTTACCACATACACACAAAAAAAGGACTAGCAAGGAGTAGGGGGTGAAAAAAGAACTTTTCTGCTCAGGATTGTATGAAATGCTGGATTTGGAGACTCAGGTTTTTCTGGTTTAATCTGAAGGCAAGGCTGTCCTGTCCAGTTCCAAGGGCCGGCTGGATGCGGGAAGGCCAGACAAATTTAGGAGTCTGAAGTTTTATGTAACCAAGGCTGAGACCTGAGGATTGGAGTGTCATCCAGTTGGGGACCAGGTTCGGCCACTTGCATTTCAGTGAGGTGACGGGGGCAATGCTAGGCGGGTTCCTGGGTTTTCTCCT